CACACATCTTCTCGAATCCACAAACATTTTAGGGAGTTTTGAGCAGAAGCCTCGCTTACCTGAGTCATCTTCTCACGGTTGGCTTTGGGATTGAGCGGGGCCTCGGTGAGAAGGACGGGGTGCTCCTCGGGTGCAACGCGGAGCTCGTTGTAGAACGTATGATGCCAGATCTAAGCAAATCGCAGCAGACACAACAGCAAACGATTTGTGCTCCGGAGGCATGAAAGCAAACGAAGACAGGACCAGTTGGGTTCACAAGTAGTTGAGAGGGTTGACATCCCACAAACCGCTGCATTTACTGCTCGTTCTTATGATGCTAGAAACAAAGACACTGAATTCCATGGTAAACCTGGACGATTTAAAATCGGTTGCCACAGAATTGACGAATACAATACATTGGTCCTCGTGGTAATGCTTCCAAAGTGGAGCTTCCTCAAATGATCATAGTGTGTTGTCGATCTTGGGTCTTACCTTCTCCATGTCGTCCCAGTTGGTGACGATACCGTGCTCGATGGGGTACTTGAGGGTCAGGATACCTCTCTTGGACTGGGCTTCGTCTCCCACGTAGCTGTCCTTCTGGCCCATACCGACCATCACACCCTGATGGCGGGGACGGCCGACGATGGAGGGGAAGACGGCACGGGGCGCGTCGTCACCGGCGAAGCCAGCTTTGCACATACCGGAGCCATTGTCTACGACAAGAGCAGCAACGTCGTCGTCACACATTTTGGCTGTAGATTAGGAAAATAACTACGGGTCCTAGGAATTGGTAAGGCGACAAAATAGTCAAGTGCGAAAACACAAGAGCGACAAAGTCATCTAATGACTCGCGGCGTCTTTTATACCGGAGCTAGAGAAATACATGAGGTTCTAGAGGACAGCAGGCTGCCATACGCGTTGTGTATATTTTCGGGAGTTCCGAGAATTCGTCACCAGTCGGCGTGCCACGATTGGCAGTTTGCTCATGAGCAAAGCGTGATATGTCACGGCGCCATCTTCCCCAGCTCGGTCGCTGATTGGTCAGGCTGGACGAGTTGTACGCGTGTGAGTGGCGAAGAATTCTGAGAAGAGCGTCTGCTTCCCGTTGCTCACTGTCAATGCGCGCCAGCAGTCTTCCTGTAAAAGCAGCTGGATTCACTGGTGTTTGTCCCCGGAGCCACCAGCGACGGGTATGCATACAAGCTACGGACACAGCCTAATGTATCCTGATGTTTCGTGCACTATTCCTGAGAACTGGTGTCGCCCAAATCGTAACCTGCACTGTCCTATGAACACAGGAGTAGCGACGATGGACAGACTGGTGGACTTTCTGTGTTGGCATCGGATCTAATGAAGCTGCGGAATGGGTGCGAGAAGCACTCAACAATTACACAGGCCGGTCAGCATAAGCAGTTCCGTTCGTTTGCCAAACACGTTTGTTTCGTGTAGCCACGCTGCATAGATTGTGTCATGGTCGCTTCATTATTCATGCATGCACGGTAGACGTGCGCTTTAATTAACTCCTTGTCTCCAATGGCCAGGACCGGTAGCGTAACTATTGTGGCTGGTGACGTGTCGGTTAACGATCCGGGCAGCTAGCAGACGTTCTCGTCTTGCTTGTAATAATTCTCCGAAGCAAGTGCTGAAAAGCTGCGAAAGCATAATTTGTGGCTTGCTTGGATTCTACGCGAATGGTAGACACTTTTACTCCACGCATGCAGTTACCAAAACCTCCAAAAGATGCCACGTGTGGTGCGACTTGTTTGTGCCTGAATCGGGAAGCTAACACTAACAGACGCTCTCATCCTGCGTGTAGTTCTCCGAAGTGGTTGCACACAAGTGTCCGCAAGCTGTGCGTCCTCCGACGCATTCGAAGCCCAGCTCACGATTTGATGCAGAGCAAGGATCAAAGGAGAAGCAGCTTCCGGATTGTCTTCCTAATCTTCGACCGGTCCCCGGGTTCGTCACGCGGTGTGCCAACCAGAGAGTAGGTATTTTACTACTCCCTGGAGCCGACCACATCGAGCGGGAGTTGCATTCTAAATACGTAGAGTCTGCGCCGTCTTGCGAGGCGACGGTGTGTGCATGGTCAAATATGGCATGACTGCGGTCCGCCAGTGGAGTCCAGACGCGCACGGATGCGTCCCACGGAAACTTCGGGAAAGGCGCTGTTCTCTGTATCCCTCCACGCTCTTCCATCAAGCGACTGGCTAGGCTCTCAGTGCTTCCCGGCGAAATAGAGTTTTCGAACACGGTTTGAACCGTTGTCTGGCCTGCTGGGGATTGTTGCTGATGTGCACTCTCTCTCTCTCTTTCTCTTGCACCACTGACACACACAGAGCCATCTGCTACGAGCGTTAGAGTGCGGAGTTCAGCAGAGTACTCGTTCTGCGCTCGGCCACACTCTTCAACAGGAAGGAGAAAACAATGCCCATTCGGCCCTTGTCCTGTGGTGCGTGGCCAATATCGTGCGCGTGCCTTCCTGCGGAACAGAGTTCTGACTGACCGCATGAGAATTCATCGGAACGACTGCTAGTATTAGTGGTTGCACTGGTTACTGTCTGCCACAGTATAGACTGCTGCGAACGCAGCGGGGATTGAATTATCTGAGCCCATTCTCGGCCTTTATATCTGTATTAATTAATCGACTGAAAATCGCACATCAACAGCCGTCCAACTTACTTGGCAGGTTCTAAGTTATGAAAATACAAATGTAAGACTGACGGGGAAAGTGAGCGCACTCAAGACAAAACAGCTGCGAACGTGTACACTCTTTGTCCTCTCTTTTTTTTAATGTTTTAATCCTTGGCTCTCCAACTGAGTCTAACATAGTAGAAGAGTAGGTGTTCGAGGTCTTGCTATGTTCTACTGCTCGCACTGATTGCAGAAATCGGATCATAGTATTGGGCAGCCCTGCCCGTGTGCTTGGGATCACTGACTTTGTGCTTTCAATGAAACACGTTTCAGTGGTCCCCGTAGTCATGTAGTGGATGCAATCGTGCAGGGCCTTTCAAACTGAGAAACGATATTGTCAGCAAAGGAAATCTTCGGACGACCACGCTTTCTCTTGCCATCCACGACACCAACAAAATAAAAATGCACACACACACATAAAAAAGAGAAGAAACACATGAGAACGAGTTATGCAGCAACTATCCACGACTAACAAGATGATAAACAGCCAGAAAGTACGATAGTAGAATGTCTCAGTAGCCTGTCAGTTTTGTGCCCTAGTATTATCGCACTTTCTGACTGTTTATCATCGTGTTACAGTCGTGGATAGTTGTTGCATAACTCGTTCTCATGGGTTTCTTCTCTTTTTTACATTTATTACTGGCTCAGTATCTGAGTTTAAATACACAAACAAAACAAAAAAACACGTTGAACAGGTGAAACCGGCCACCGAGATCATTGAGTGAAGCGAAATAGGAAAAACAAGGGTTTGGGGTTGGTGCTCTTTGGGAATTTGTTCTGATCCAGTTGCCTGATGATCGTAGAGATACGTGAAACTCGGAGTTGTGACAAAGCTTCCAAACTCTCTCTTGTGTAATATTATAATATTATTCTTTTATTCCACGATGGCGTGACGCCAATAAGGACGATTGATAAGTGTGATAGACCTGGTACTAGCCAGAAACAGCTAGATGGAAATTAACCGGGGAGGCAAGAAGCAATGGATCATGAAAAACAAGCGGGGACAATAACGCTAGCAGGGGGGATCGAGATAGTTAAGTACACGTTCGAGATATCAGAAACCAGGGGGATGCGCGGAGCAGGAACAGGTACTGCTCAAAAGAAGACTGGATGTATTGTTTTGGAAAGAATTTCTACGAGGTTGGGTTGTGATGTCGATAGGGAGTGAGTTGCAGAGGGTGAGGGCACTTTTGATGGGGGAATCTCGGTACCTGTTTGTGTGTGCGTGTCCGATGGAGTAGGTCCTTGTCTGTCGAAGGGTGTATGGTTGGTGTTGACGTTGTGGTGCAAGATGTGGTTGTTGTAGGTGTGGTGGGAAGGTTTAGTGGTGGATGTCCCATGCTAGTAGGTTATGACAGGTGAACAGATACTTCCAGGCGAGAAATCATTAGAACTTGACATTTTGTGGAAAGTTTGGTCTACAGCATTGGGATTCTTTAAAAAAAATCCGTATTGATAAAAAACGAGCAACACTTCCAGGCTTCTCGCCATGTTGTTCGCATGGTTCTGCTCATATGAAAATGCTTCTCAAACAGAACACTGAGCATGCCAATTTGTTCCAGGGTTATGCGTTTACTCCACTAGTAAATTGGACAAGTGGATTCTGTGAAGGGTTATAAAATGGTTAGGTGCAGGTCTTGAGGGGTCCCTGGGAGCTTCAATGGCTGTGCCGTCCACCTACAAGAACAACACACAACACAAACAGAATTTAAACTCGGACTGTGTTGAGCCAAAGTAATCATGGATAAAAAGAAATGACATGTTATGAGTCATGACTAACTGTCCACCAACGTAACCAGATCATGATACATGAACAGTCACGCGGCGATTGCCACAAACTGTATAGGATCTGGTTATACGTTGGTGGACAGTTAGTCATAACTCGTAATATTTTGTCCTTTCCTTTTAGCCACGAATAGAACTGTGTAGAAAGAACACCTGATACATACCATGCGCTATCCATTATCCATTTGGTTCACTTTTGGTATTACTAGTAGATTTCCGCTTTCAACCCGCTAGTCAACGAAACTCTTTAGTGACGACATTTCCACTGATGAATGTCAACGAGAACGTTTGTTATGGAAATAAAACTTGACCCTGATACAACTTATTACTGTGATGTAGCGTGTCCTGGGTACCCGGAGATCATATTACGTATTTCAATGGTACATACTGTTCATAGTTGACCGGGAGAAAGATAATTCCTCAAAGAGCGTACAAACAATCTTCGAGGAGACAATACTTTTAGTAGACCTATGAATTAATATTATTGTTATAGGATACAAATGCATGTATATGTACATGTAGATCAAGTAACTAAGTTGCGT